GTCCAAATAATCTTTTGCATACAATCTTCTAAACTTTTATCTTTTACATAGGAGTTATGTATATTCTCCTTGCAAAAACATATTATTTTATCTTTCCTTCTTATTATGATTCTTCTGGACCAAATATATGTGAGCATTTTCCATGTAAAATCCTGCAAGGATCTTTGAAATAATATCTCTTTTGCTAAATGTCCAATTTGTAATTCTGAGGAATTTCATGAAGACTCGGATTCATGCACAATCTTATTTCAACATCTTCCATAAGAATGATTCCATCTTAAATTCTTTCATCAAATATTTTACTGTATATGAAATCTCTACAGGAGATCCGATAATATTTAAATCATCAAACGTACTCTATATTTATTCTTGTAGCCTTCTTTTAACAAGTACCAACTAAGGCAATTATCTTATATATGCCCCGATGTTTCAATTCACAACAATATCGATTTAATTTCACATATATAGTTATGTTCTCGAGAACTATAATTTGTTGCTTCTGGCAATAGAATCTTTCAAGGCAACTTCTATTTTCCAGGGCTGCTTATGACATTTTAAGACCTTCTGGGCAGACTGAATCAAGTCTTTTTCACATTGTCAAACAGATAATGGATTTATATAGTTGCATCCACCACATGAGAGTATATCTCTTTCTCTTAAATTTCATGTCTTTGTGAGAATTATTTTTACCACTAAACGTGCTTTATATCTCATAAAAATCCACTTATCTCCCACTAATTTTACACCTTCAAGTGTACGGACTTCTAGTCCAAATACTTTCTCTTCAAGAGATTTAATTATTTATCTATTACTTCTTTCCATGATTGCCCAATCATCACTTTGTATATACTTTTCAATAGAACTTTTTCTATTAACCGCGGTTTATGATCCTCGATGTTATTCATAACATCATCAACTGCTTCACTGCATGCAAAATATTTACGACGTCGATTTGCTTTGGTTCCCTTTTATTCCAGACATGACTCAACTTGTTGAGATTTCCTTTCATTATCATTCTCACGTACTTGAATCTCTTTCTTTCTCATGTCTAAGCTCTTCTAGAGACTCTTTGCTTCCTCGGTGCCATATTAATATCCGCTCCTTTAATTTTCTTTTCCGAGGATGCCGTTTCTTTGGAACCAATAAGTCTATCACGCTTCAGGCGATCTTTAGACTTACTAGCAGTTGATCTTATCCTTATAGGATATTACTTTTAATTGGAGCACAGCTGGTCTGATTTATCACTTAAGGTCAGGAAATGCTTCTGGCATATAATTTGGTTAACTTTGCAAATGAATTATCTTTTAACTTGTAGTGCACATTCTTTAGTACGAGGATCAAGATAATTTCTTCCAATATATTTCTTTACCAGCTGTTTATTTTCTCCCCCTAATGTTGGAAAGACTGACTCACTGAATTGACAGTCTCCATCTCGAGCCTTAAATAAATTCTTTATTGATGGCTCAAGATAATCAATCATCGAGAGAGATTCATATCGAATATATTTCCAACATTCTTTCATGTCTCATGTTATATATCACTGTGGTGGAGCAACTCTACATATATATAACACATTTAGATGAGAACTATCTGGTTTCTGACCCAAACCAATTGTAACGGGGAAAACTTATTATTTCTTGTTGGCCTGATGCGAATAAATTGACATAATATTCATTTACTTAAGACATGGTTTCACGACCATTATCAATTAACCAAATACCCTCGCAAACTCCAGGTTGCAAGTCGATAGCAAGAATATAATGTGGGTGATCAGTCCACAATAATTTCTCATATACGTACCAGAAAATTGACACTATCCAAATTCATGGGGTCGGTGAAAGCCATATAATCTGCTTGCTTTGTAAACCAGCAACACATACGAAATCACTAGAAAAAATCTTCAGGTTTGCCAATGAATATTTTCATAAATTTCTGATTATTCTTTCGCATCGCTACTGAACCGGAATGGCTTAACCGGTCATGCCAAACAGTGAGATTTTTAGTAAACTTCGTGTTTAGTATACACAAGTATATTCATTAAACTACTCTTTATGTAGTACAATCATATAGAGTATATATTCAATTTCTCTAAAATACTTTTAGAGCCTTGGGTATTCAACATTTTCTTGTTGTCTCAACATGATTCGTTCTAAAATCCCATAGATTTATTTTATGAAGAATTCATTAGTCTTAATTTTAGTGTGAACATAATCTTCTGGATGTTTCACTTATTATGCTATATGGGATTCTTTAACTCTCCCCCTCGAGATAATAACACTAGGTTTATCATCTCGAATTGAATCCCATTTTAGACCCTTCTAGCTTTGAAACTTGAGAAATTATAAAACATCAATTATTTTAAATTACATTTTCATTCACTATGCGAGAACATTCAATAAACAATGCAAATAATTTAGCCAAAAATATGTATAATTTTAGGGTAAAACATTTTTTTTTTTTTTTTTTTTTTTTTGGTCACATCTAAAAATGTTTTTACGAAGTTAAACCAACGGTATACTAACTATTAAGGATTTACTAATAAGCATCCAAACAACCATTAAATCCTTATTTTTATAAAATATTTTATAAAAAATACTTATCTTTTTATCGAATGGATCCTCTTAAAACGTCCGAAACAGAGATGAAGTGTATGATGATAATCATTTGCACATCTTCCATATTAACTCCTTCATTTCAAACTTTTAACCGAAGGGATCACCACAAAAGATCTGAAATGGAAATAACATCGTTGGTGATAATTATTTGCTCGATCTCTTATATTAAATCTTTCATTTCAAAGAAATAATAAAAAAAACATTTGATCAATTATCATCAAAACATATATCATATAAACGTCAATTACGATAAATTATAAGTTTGAATTAACATATGTTTAATAAATTACTCCCTCTGTATTCGAATAGTTGTCGTTTTAACTATAATTACGCTTATTAAGAAAAAGTTGAAAATGACTATTTTAACCTCATCTTTGTCTCTTGGTAATTTAGACTGAGTAATTGTGATCAATTAATTGAGGTTAATTTAGGAAGTCTTATGCAAAAGTTGTATTGGAATGTCAAAACGACAACTAATTAACAAAAAAAAAAAAGTGTAGAACGACAAGTATTCGAATACGGAGGGAGTATAAGTTTGAATTAACATATGTTTAATACAGAATAATTTCTCATAAAGCAAACAACATGAATCAATCTCATTGGGAATGAAACAATATACGAACAGGTCAAAAAAATCAATAAAACCATATGTGTGTATAAAGAAACATAAGTCAACGTGGAAGCAATAACACATATCACATGTGTCAAAGAGATTAGATATTTATGAGTCTCAATGAAGCATGAATAAACATTAAATTTCAGAACTCAAATCATCAGTTTACTAATTTACTAAACCGATTCAAACCAGTGATTCTTTAATTAACGATAACGCATCATGTAGTATATTAAATAATCGAGTAATAAGTGATCAAGCATGAAATTAAAAAAACAATAAACTATGGGCCTGATTGGTTGTGTCTTTAGAGTCTTTCTACAGCCATATTTTGGTCTACAGCTATAAATCCACATCAATCATACTTTACATTTAATTTTCAGGTCTACAGCAACATTTTACCTTTTTCCTTTTTTCGGGCTGTAGAAACGTCAAAAGCTACAGCCGTCAGTTTTGGGCTTTAGAATATATTTTTATTTAAGTTTTATATTAAAAACAAATTTGATAAGAAACCCTAGCTTAAGAATTATATATATAATAATCAAACCTTGAGCAAAGGCAGCCACAGCAGAGAGAAGAAGAAAGGTTCCTATCTTTCATAATTTTTGTCCATCCCTTCTTGTGTGATTTACATAACCAATTATTAATTAGTGATTTTTTTTATTTTGTTGCTAATTGTTTTCTACGTGTTTAGTGATTGTTTTTGTTTTGTTGCTAATTTTTTTTGTTTTGTTGCTAATTTTATTTAAGTTTTAGATGGTGTTTTTTTTGTTTAGTAGTAAAAATTAAAAAGAAAAATAAAAATATATACCTAATATTTATTTCATGTTTTCACTTTAAAAAAGTCACAGCTATTTTTACCAATCATGCTTTCATTTAATTCTACAGTCTAAATTCTACAGCCTAAATTCTACAGCTACAGCAGAAAAATCTACAGACAAATTTCTACAGCTAAAATCCTAAAGCTACAGCTGCAACCAATCAGGCCCTATATGTGTGTGGTTCCATAACACAATAAACAACATCAAATAATATCATGGGTTGGAGAGATTTACCAAACCAAAACTTAAACCAAACAATTGATCAAACTTTTTTTTCTTTTTCATCTGGAGAAAATATATTGAAAGGATTAAAGTTACAATACAGAACCAACTTCTGAAGCAACAGAGAAGGAAGGGGACGAATTCCCAGTAAATACTAAGCCATTTATATGAACATGGCCAATACAAAGGAATGAGGCTACACAAAAAACAGCCTAATCAAACCATCACAAAAAGCTTAAACAGAGGAAGAAATTCTCTCACTTTCAAACAGACCAAACAACCAAGCAGGGTGACTTGATGCAACAAAGGAATTTAGTCTGCAATCATTAGTGACACTCTAAGCCAAGAGAAAGGCTCCTCTGTTAGCTAGTGGAAGCTCTACAAAAACACTCCACTCCAAAAAATATTCCAAGCAACGAAGTAACTCGGAGGACTCATACCTGAAAGAAGGCCAGGCAATCGGTATCAAGATAATACTCACCAAGGTAACATCTTGTAGAGCAAAATTAACCTTGGAACATCGATGACTAATCATACTTTCCATTGCCCACAGAATACTCAAAAAAACCTCTTGATCCTTATGGATTACATCTGTAAAGGATCTACGGCTTTGTAACAAAACAATCCCTTCTTCATCTCGTAACACCCAAGCACTTCCTGCCAAATTGTTCCTTTTCAACCAAGATACCCCTATATTACACTTCAGCCAAGATCTGAGGGGTGGTTTCCAAATAGGTAAAGGCTCCTGTAGATCATGAACCTCAGCAGTAGGAGCAAATGAAGCAGTCGGAGGAACCACCTGTCCTGCAGTAATCGGAGAACTAGACCTTTCCAATCTCTGCGCCAAAAACCAGTCTCCAACATCCTCACGAATCTTAGCCACTGATTGGCATGCATCAAATCTTTTCCCTTCAAAGAACAGAAGATTCCTATTTTTCCAAATTCTCCATAAAATCCATGGGAAACTCTTTCTTAAATGGTGAGGCCAAGTCTTGTTGTCTCTATTAATAAGCAAATGATGAATATTAGGAAATCCAATTTTCATCATCTTATCATACTCCTCCGGATCAAACTCATCATCAAAATCTTTCGCATCTAACGGACATTCTTCTCCATCCTTAAAACCAGCAACAGAAAGCACCTTCTTCATCTTCTCCTTCATCTCCTTCTTCTTAACATTCTTCAACCGCTTCAACTCCTCTTTCCTCTCAATCTCAGCCATCTTCATTCTCTCCTCTTTACTCTTCCTCTGCACCTTCCTCGCGTTATCCTTCTTCCTCACCGACCCTTCCACAACCCTAGACTGACCCATAACGATGTCCCCAGCATTCTCTTCATGCCTATAGCTTCTCTCCAACGGTCTTCCTGCCTCAAAATCCTCCTGATCCCAAACAGCTTGCTCATCCTCACTCAACTCCTTCAACTCTGCTTTATCTATAATCTTCTCCTCTTTCTCCTTCCACAATTGTTTCACCAAATAATCTTTCAAAAACTGATTCTCAACAACCTCAGCTTCTTCACCAAAATACTCATCAATTTTCTTAGCTAACTCCTGATCAACCTCCACATCATCATCTCCTTCCTTCTCCACAACTCTCAAAAAATCATCATCTCCATCACTCTCATTCCCTCCAGCTTCCAAAGCATCCGTAACAGCTCTCCTCAACTCGCCCTGCTGCTCAGCGTAAGTCCTAACCTTCCTCTCCTCATCTTCCTCAACAAACTCAGGACCTTCCTCAAGCAAATGTTGTGCTTGAACATCTTTCAAATACAACTTCTTCTTCTTCTTCTTCTTCTTCTTATCCTTCTCATCAACCTCATCTTCTTCACTACTCTCATCAGACTCAAAGAACTTAGCATCTTTGTTCCGAGCTGCCTACGTACCCATTCCGGGATCAAGCCACACCGTAGTTCATGTACATAAAAAATGCGTGTATCTTAAACATAAAATTTCTTTAGATTGATCACATTCCAGGGTCGCTTGACTGGCCTGTCTTCTAAGTCTTTCAACCTATAAACACCATTCCGAACCACTTCGGTAACAATGTAAGGCCCTTCCCAATTAATGCCGAGTTTGCCCGCACCATCTTCTTTTTTATTTTCAAAGACTCGCCTTAACACATAATCTCCTACAAAGAAAGGCCTACTCTTGATTTTAGAGTTGTAGTATCGAGCTGCTGCCTGCTGGTAATTTTGAATCTGAATTAAGGCTTGATCCCGCCTTTCATTAATGGTATCTAGCGAGTCATCAAGCATCGCTGTGTTCTCTTCTTCATCCAATGGTGCTTCTGCTCGGCGAAGTCCGGGTACATTAAGCTCGGCTGGTACCACCGCCTCCATACCATAAACCAGAGAGAACGGAGTTTCCCCAGTAGACCGCCTAGGAGTTGTGCGATAGGCCCACAAGACGGGTTGTAGTTCATTATACCAACCTCCTTTCAGGTGATTCAGGCGTTTTTTGAGATTGCTAAGAATCGTCTTGTTCGCGGCCTCGGCTTGGCCGTTTCCTTGCGGATATCGTGGAGTAGAGTAACTGACTTTGATTCCCCAGTCCGAACAAAAAGCTTCGAACTCATGCGAAATGAACTGTGGTCCATTATCAGTAACTATCTCATATGGAACCCCATGTCGACATATGACATTTTTCCAAAGGAATGTATTAACCGCCGAATCTTTGATGCTAACATATGCTTCAGCTTCAATCCATTTTGAAAAGTAGTCCGTCAAGACCAAAAGGTATTGTACTCCTCGAGTTGATCTGTGCAATGGTCCAATGATGTCCATTGACCATCTCATAAACGGATATGGGGCGGAGATGGAAGAGAATAATTCCGAAGGTTGATGGATCAATGGTGCATGAAGTTGACAGCGCTTACATCTTTGGGCATATTTGACACAATCCGTGATCATAGTGGGCAAGAAACACCCCATTCTCTTAATCTTAAAAGCCGTAGCTCTTCCTGACGAATGACTCCCGCACAACCCTTCGTGTACTTCGCTCATGACAATTTCAAATTCTTTCTTCAACGACTTAACCAACATGTCATCTATGTAGACTTCCATTGTCTTCCCGAGATGATCGTGGAACATTTTATTGACCAACCGTTGATAAGTTGCTCCTGCATTTTTTAAACCAAAAGGCATTACTTGTATAACAATAAATACCTCTATCTGTGATGAATGACGTTTTTTCCTGGTCCTCGGGATTCATCATTATTTGATTATAACCCAAGAAGGCATCCATGAAGGTTAATAGTTCATTCCCAGCAGTAGATTCTACGAGCCGGTCTATATGCGGAAGCGGGAAACTATCCTTTGGACACGCCTTATTGAGATCCGTGAAGTCAATGCATACCCTGTCCTTTCCATTCTTCTTTTTAACCACGACAGTGTTCGCTACCCACTCCGGATACTGCACTTCCCTTATGGATCCTATCTTTAAAAGTTTGTCCACTTCGTCATTTACTATTTTTGCCCGCTCTATTCCGAGTTTTCTCCTTTTTTGTTTTACAGGTTTGAAGCTCGGATCCACGTTAAGTTCATGACAAATTATGCCTGGATCTATGCCAGGCATATCTGTCGCCGACCACGCAAATGATGTCTTGTTTTTCCTCAAAAGTTCAATTAAAGCCTCTTTTATTTTGCCGGTCAAAGTAACTCCAATTCGGATTTTCCGATCTGATTTGTCTTCTTCTAATACTACCTCGGTTACTACATCATCCTCTTTCTGCCCACTAGGAAATCTTGGAATTATTCCCTTTTTTGCGGGCTTCGTTAATTGCTATTGGATCTTCAAACGGTGGCTAGCTAAGTAGCATGTTCGCGAAGCTTCTTGATCTCCCCGAACTGTTTCCACTCCACTTGGTGTTGGAAATTTGATGCACTGGTGATATGTAGAGGGGACTGCCTTCATTTGATAAATCCATGGAGTCCCGAGGATGATATTGTAAGCTGCCGGTTTATCGAAAACAACGAAATCCACGATTTTCGGCACCTTTTTGGCGAGAACTGGTAGCTTGATCGTACCGAGAGACATAGCTGACTCACTTGTGAACGCCACCAAAGGAGACGGAGGTCCTACTATGTCTGCCCGACTAATTCCCATTATTTCCAAAGTACTTAAAAAGATTAAGTCGACCGAACTGCCCGTATCGATGAGGATCCTTGATAGTTCGAAATTGGCAATGTCCAGGGTAATGACGAGGGCGTCATCATGGGGTCTTTCGAGGTGATGCGTTTCTTCCTCATCAAATGATATTGATGCACCTTGAAAGTCAACTTCTTCGCCCAAGTTCGCTTTGAGTGAAACATTTCGCCTATGCTTCTTGATGGAACTAATCGAATCTTGGCAAAGTTTGGAACCTCCTAAAATTACATTGATCTTTCCCTTCGAACTCCTTGGTTCTTCTTCATTAGAAAATCTTGGTCTCTTGGAGTTCTGATCTTTGGTGCTATCCCTTGCTTCGTGGTATTCTTTCACGAAATTTTCTATGTTGAATTTGGAAAGATCTCCACTGGCCCATAGCTCCGCGAGATGCCTTTTAAGGACGCTGCAATCTTTGGTCAAATGCCCGGTTACCTTATGGATGTCACAGTATAAACTTTCGTCACGGACCCACGTGTTCGACTTTCCTTTTCCTTGGAATTGTTTTCCGACGATATTGTTGAAAGGCTGTGACCCAAACCTTCTTGGTCCTTTGTTTTCCCTGGGCTCAAACTTCTTGGTAGGAAAAGTGACCGCCGGTTTTTCTTGTTTATTCCTTTTGGCGAAATTTTCTTTTTCATCTTCTACTTCCATCCAATTGTTTGCGCGGAAAAGTGCGTCTTGAATTGTGTCCGGTTTATGAAGTATTAGATCCTCTTTGAACCTTGAATCTTGCCTCAAACCTTTTCGTAGGGCAGATAAAGCTGACTGTTGTGAAATTCTTGGGAGCTTCGACAGTACCCCCTTGAATTTGGTGATGAAAACTCGAAGTGACTCATTCGATCCTTGTGATAGGTTCCAAAGGTCAGCGTCCGAAACACTTCTATCCATAAGGATAGAATATTGTTTCAAGAAAACAGCTGACAACTCATCAAAATTGCTGATTGACCCTGGCTCTAACTGGGTAAACCACATTAATGCTTGGCCGCAAAGATTTTCCGAAAAGAGTTTGCAGTACCCCGCATCTTCATCAGCTTCATCCAATTCGACTCGTCCAGCGGCAATCAAAAAGGCTGCGAGATAACTTTTGGGATCTTCTAATCCACTATAGGGCTCCGGTTTGAGCTTCCGAGAATCTTTGATTCTCAAACTTGCAATTCGCGAGATAAAAGGTGTTCGCCTAGCTTCTTCAATGACTCGATTGATATCTGGTTCCGAACTAGTGGCCTGATGGAACTTTGACTTCATTTCCTTTAGTTCTTGGCTAACCTTTTTCATAGTCTCGAACTGGTCAAGGCTTTGTTGCTCGTACTGTTCTGCAAGTTGATCTTCGTCTTCGAGTTGCGTCTCTCCGTCCACCGGCTGATCTACTGTATTGGCGGCATCGGGAGTTACATGTTCGCTGGTTTCATTTCGCGCAAGGGAGCTTGGCGAATTGAACATTCTTCTTCGGACTCCAGGGTGGTTTCCTGCACTTAAAGAGCGAACACGAGATTGAATAGTACTGACGTTTTGGCTAAGAGATACCTGGGTTGTTTGTAACGAGTCAACCGCCTTCTCCACATTCGAGAACTTCTGAGACATTTCCGACATGGTTTGCTGCATGGCTTTGAGAGTTTCGGCCAATGATGCATCAGGGATGTCTCCTCTGGACATTGCTGCTTACCTCGGAAATGTAGTGAAGGAAATCTGACTGCTCAAGAATCTTCCGTCCCCACAGACGGCGCCAAAATGTGGATGTCGAATTTACACACTCAAGTATTTATTTATTTAATGAGAACGAATATTCTTGAATACAAAAGTTGTTGTGTAGAAACTATGAATTAGGAAAATGCTATTGTATATTTTTTTGAAGAGGAGAGAGCCCCCACTTACATGGCCATTGGCCCTTATATTTATACTCACAAATGATATTTAACTCCTAATTAAATACAATTATTCTCTCTTAAATGCGTCTGTTTCAATCTTTGACTTTAATATTCAACGTTCGAATTTGAATTGATTCCGACCTTCATGGGCCTCGCCTCTCAGCCCAAATAGCCTTGAACCGACTTAACTGCGACTTCGACTCCAGACTTGTATCGAGGTGCATTCACACCGAACTCTCCTTGTGGTGTCACCACCTCGACCGCACTCTTAACTTATGTACCTCATTGACTACAAGAAAACATAGGCTTTTCTTACCAAATTTCCTACCAAATATTTGGTAGGAATAATTTCCTACCAAATTCCTACGTATTTGTTACGAAATATATATTTCGTAGGAAATTCGAATGAAATTTCCTACGACAAAAGGCGTGAGATGTTCGTAGGAAATTTCCTAAGAAAATCCTACGAAAAAAAATATCGTAGGAAATTTCGTAAGAAAATAGAATGAAACTGGTAGGAAAATATTGGTAGGAAATTCGAAGGTATATTGCCTTCCAGTATCCTACGAACAGACCTTCGTAGGAAATAGCGTAGGAAATACGAATGAAAGTTTTGGAAAAATAATTTGTAGGAAATTCGAAGGTATATTTCCTTCCAGTTTCCTACGAAGAGACCTTCGTATGAAATAGCGTAGGAAATGCGAAGGAAGGTTATGGAAAAATAATTGGTAGGAAATTCGTAGGATCAGCGAATATCTAATATTTATTATTAGATATTTTATATTATTTATAATTTTGATAATATTTATGTCAAATTATCTTGAATTGTAAATAACTATGTTTTAATCACTTCACTAGTTTCAGACTTCTTCAGTTCTTGTCCAATTCAAGTCTGTTTTTTTTTTCAATTTTTAATCACTTTACTAGTTTCTGACTTCTTGAGTTCTTGCTTTTGTGGCACTTGATATTAGACTAAGGAGCCTAATATGATTCACTTCATGGAAGAAACTCATTTAAATAAGAAGACGCCCACAATTAGCGATTTGAAGACAAAACAGATTCTTGATGGAGTTAAGAGGAAGTTAGAGCTGACAAATTCGCAACGCCAAGCTGAAGGAGATGACTCGGTTCAGTCTAACTCTTACACGGAAGAGGAGATTAACACTGTCATGCTGGAAGTAAGTTAAATTATGTTATAGTTTCCATTTTGTTTATGGTGTTCTTGTGTTCTCAAGAGTATATGATTAGGTTTTAAATCTTTATATTAGAATGGATTGTACAATGAATTTTAATTTGTATGGAGTTTAATTTTATATTTAATTTTAAGTTTCTTTTGAATTTTAAATTTTATTTATTCATAAAACCAAAATTTGTAACAAATAAATATAAATAATTTTATTAAAATTGTCTCTAAAATTTCGAAGGATAATGGTAGGAATTTAGTAGGAGGTGTATCGTAGGAAACTGGTAAGATAATTTTGGTAGGTAATTAGTGAGAAATATTTCGTAGGAAAGTTGTAGGACTAATTAAATTTCCAACGAAAATTTGGTAGGTAATTAGTGAGAAATATTTCGTAGGAAAGTTGTAGGGTTAATTAAATTCCCTACGAAAATTTGGAAGGAGAATGGTGAAATAGGCCCTACCAATTTCCTACGAAATTTCCTACGCGCTTTCCTACGAACCGGTTTCGTAGGAAATTTCCCACGAATTTTCTATCAAATTCTATTTCCTACGGGCGATTCCCTTCAAATATTTTTCGTAGGAAATTGGTAGGAAACAGACGTTTCCTACCAATTTCTTACGATTTTGGCCGTAGGAAAACGCTGTATTTCTTGTAGTAGGAAATTGGTAGGAAACAGACGTTTCCGGCCTTTGTCTTGACTACGTGACAATCTTTGGTTGGTCCCGGACTACTGGTGCGAGATCCGACACCAACAAAAACGTACAATCATTTTCAAGGAGATTTCTTATTACTTGCTTTTAGTTACAATATTTTTGGCTAGATTAATGATCTTTTCATATATTTTCCCTTTTCAATAATTCTTTCTATGTTCAATATATTGGTTTTTATGAAAAAAGAAAAAAGAGTATAATGGACAAAGAACACGATAATTAAATCCTAATGCACGTACGCCAAATCAAATCCTATCTCGCTTGAGCTAACCATAACGATCATGATAATTTAGATGAGACTAGACCACTTACTTAATGTTACATATTTAGATGCCATTAAATCTATAACAAAACTAGAAAAGGTACGTTCAATATTTCATCTAAATAAATTTTACTTCTTTAGTGATTTGTGACATATATTCCTTGAAAATTCAAAGAAGTGGATAAAATATGTGATAACATAGTAAAATCAAAGTTTGTATTAGTATTTGATGTCTAGTTTGCGCTAACGAGTACGTAACGTCTAAAGTGTAAATTACATCTGAAGTGATTAAGAATTTGATTGGTTCTCTCGCAACTATCCTCAAACGTATATGATCGATTTTGGTTGTTCGCTTTGAGAAAAATCTAAAGCGGCCTATATCTTTGTACATAAGCATTAAGCAAGAGTACAAGAAAAAAAGCTTATAACCAAGAAAAATCCTTGGTCCAATAAACCTCATCATTACTAAAATAAAACCATCTTCTCTAACGGACCAAGAACACTTCTTAGTAGATCCACATCTATTGCTGTCTCTAGAAACCTTAAACGCCTCGAACCTCTTCCTCTTTGTATTCCACTTCATTGTACATGTGTACTCTGCCGACCACAAATCGATCTTGACCGTCCATTCGAAGTCGTCTCCTTCTTGAAGTGCACGACCACCGAGATCTCCTTGGGGCGAAGTGCACCAGATCACTAGAGGGAGAGACGAGTTGTCTCTGAAGTTGTTGATCACACGCACGTCGTATTCCTCTCCAAGTAACATAGTTTGTGGTTGAAGCATTAACGTGATCATGATTGTTAAGGAGGTGATAATAAGCATAAGCAGAAGAAGGATTATTTTTGGAGTCTTCTTCATGTTTTTTATTTTATTTTTCTTACAAATAATGCTATGTGCAGTTTTTATTTTTTGTGTTTAATGACGATAATGTGTGTATATATATTATACAATAATAAACTAGATTTTTCATATGTTTTAATTAATCATAGTTTTCTCAGCATATTAGACATTAAAGAATTAGTTAATTAGTAATAAATCATATTGTTAAACTTTTATTAAGAAAAAACGAATCTGGAAACGTATTAACTATTTTGCTAAATAATATGTCGGAAATGATTAAAGATAACACTTGGCAGAACCATATATGAAAAATATAAAATAAAAATCTACAAAGTAGCAAAATAAAGGAAACAAATTTCGAAACTCTATATAAATTTTTTTCTTATAATTGGTTATGTGAATATATGGAACACCATATATTATTGTTATAGAAAAGAAATGAAAACTAAATATTAGTAGTATATATTAGGTATCATTAGTTTTTATTTTTCCTCTTTATCTTTTGTAGTGCTAATTTCACTAATGTCTATAAAACTACTATCTTAATTTTTTTCTAATGACTAATATATTAATTTCTCTTAATCTTATTAGCTTAAACGATCAAGATGACCTCGTCATCACTCGAGTAATATCACTGTGAGGGTTTATTGTTATGCCTCAGGGAAGACTACATTAGGCACGTGGTTTGAAATCTGTATAAGATTTCTCAATTGAATTCTGAAACCTCCTTCATTTGTTTCCGGTTATGTGAGAATTCAAAATGTTTTGAAGTTCTTGAGACTTTAGTACTAAATCAGTATTGCTTTGGTGGGTTAGGTAGTAAGTGATAACATCCCCCAATCCATTTCTCTCTCTCTGTGCACTGGCTCCACAAGATACAAAAACTGTAAGCTACTATTCTTAAGAATGGATACTTAGGGGGACTCCAGTCCTGGTTCCTCACACATCCATAATTCTTTTGGCATTAATGTAACAATTTATCTATTCAGAACATTCAGCTCATAATGAAGCATTTGTTGTAAAACAGTTTTTTGTTGGAATATAATTTTACATTCTTAAAAAAAAAAAAGGTCTGCAGAATAGTATGTCTAACACTGGCTTGAAATAGAGCTCTTATCGAAAAACTTGATTTGGTTGAGAGGCTACAAGATCGCATACGCGTAATTCGCTATAAATCTCTTTCCTCTGTTTTCGCGCTCTAAGCTTTAGATATTTTTCGGCAACTATGTGTTTTCTTGGCTTCTACACTAGCTACGAACAAAAGACATTGTTCTGATTGTGATTGGTTTTTTCCATAAGATTTTGATTAAGTTTCGTTCACAATTCGACAAATGACTCAATATGATGTTGTGATCATAACAATTAAAGACTTCAATTATATATTCTTTAAACGAAGTTAATCCACATCTAAATCTAATAGTTACCACTAACTAATAGCACAATGTACAAACAGTCGAAATTCAAAACCTATCATTTTCATATCTTTCCGCGGAAAGGAAGTTCACCGTTGGCCTAACCTAAGATCAAACTATCCAATTTATAACTTCGACGATTTTTCAAAAATGTTTAGTATTCATTTCTGAATTACATGCCAAACAAACTACAATTTATAAAATCAACACAATCTAATTCCAATATCCTTAAAAATATATTCTCCCAAAATGAATACATTGTAGCATTATATCGTGAATGGTTAAAGAGTCGGTTTTTTTTTTGGTCGGCGGTTAAAGAATCGGTTTTACCGCAACATGTTTGCAAGGTAAAAAAGTAAAAACTGTAAATATAAATACTCATCAATCATCACTCATTTCTTCTAGGGCTTTTCCCTTTGAAACGATCGGTGCGACAACGCCGTTTCTGATAAACCGTTTCACCGGCGACGACAATGGCTTTGAACAATCAACGAAGAGCACCAAGATATCTCTCGCTTTAGGTTTAGCAGATCAACCAATCGCAGTTCCAGAAACCGCTTACGCTGAAGCCACTGAGAACAATCGCAAAAGCTTGGTCGGTCGAGTTCTAAGCCCTAGAAGACAAGATCTCTACTCAGTGATCAGTAGACTCCCTCATGAATGGAATATCGACGGATCTAAATGTCACGGCCGCATAATCGGCGGAGGGAAGTTTCAATTCGTGTTCGACGAATAACGCGATTTGGAAATGGTTCTTTGGTCTGGTCCTTATTCGTTTAACGGATGGCTCGTTGTGTTACAGAAGTGGGAAGACGAACAAGGTCCTGATTTCTTGAATTCGGTTCCTATGTGGTTGAGGATTCGTGGAATTCCGATTCGGTATCTTTGTGAAGGAACGGTTCGTGAGATTGCTTCGTCTATGGGGGAAATAATGGAGGTTGAATTGGATGATGTGAAATTTGATTTTCGTTTTGTGCGTGTTCGTGTGTTTTAAGAAAGTGGTTAGGTTTGGTTCTGGTGAGGTTAGGATTGTGAGTTTGAGGTATGAGGATATTGCTTGGAGTAAAGTTAGTTTCAAGTTTTATCGTAATTGTGGTGGTTTGAATCATCTCGCTAGGTCTTGTTCGCGTGTTTGGGTTGATGTTCCTGATCCTTATGATCGTGCTCTTTCACCACCGCCTCTTGATTCTAGCGTTGATGGTTCTGGTGAGAAAAATGGTGAAGGTGGAAAGGTCTTTGGGTTTATTGGAGCAGATTGATCCGGCGGATGCTTCTGCTGATGCGGTTCAGGGCTTGCCTGATGGGGTTGGTGAGCAAAAAGGTCTTGATGGCGTTGAGGATGGTAATGTTACGCAGGTGAAGGTTGGAACTTCGTCTGAGGGGTCGAAAAGGAAGTTTGATGCAGGGGATCAGGAGGATGATATTGTGGAGAAGCGGCTTAAAGGAAGCGCTGATGCGGTTCAGGACTTGCCTAATGGGGATGGTGAGCAGGGAGGTCTTGATGGCGTTGAGGAAGGTAATGTTACGCTGGTGCAATCTGAGGGTGTGGGGGTTAACCTCAAACCACTTGAAGAAGAATGATCCTATGAAAGTTAGAACTGTTAGGGCTCTGAGTCATACACATTTCCTGACAGTTTTGGTTATCTGAAAGGCAAATGGATCGGAACAGTATGTATAGAAGGGTACTACCTAGGTTGGCTATGGATGCAATGGAGGTTTTTCGGTTGGTTTCTAGGTTTTGTAATAGTCTTGTTCTCAGTGGAGACGAGATCGTAATATCAGAAATGCTGATAGCAGTTTGGTGTATGTCGGGTAGTCGGGTTAGTGTAGAAACAGTATGGAGTATGGTCTGGTACTCTGGTCTTGCTGTTTATCTAACTATCTCTTTAGGACTTAAGTTTCTTCTGCAAACTCTTTGCTTTGATGTTGTGAACAATATTAAGTAATGAAAGTAGTTTGTTTTGTTTCATCTTTGTTTGGTTTGAAACCTTCTGAACGACAAGAGTCTCTACCTTTACTTCCAAAACACAGAGATTGTATCCAAGCCTATGCTTCACTGCCTAAGCATTATCCAACTCGAGTAAGATGAGCATTCTCAACAGATACTAATTCAAAACACTGAAGAACAACGAAACAAAACGAATCTGTTTATAATTGATAAATATGATAACCACTTTTGGTGATCTCATTGATAAATATGAAAACTCAAAATTGATAAATAAAAAGTTCAAAGCTTAAAAAACGAAAAGAAATGGCTGTATCTGATTCTCTAACTCCATCTTCATTACGCCTTTCCATAAGCAGCCATTCTATTAGGAGGAAGCTTCTTCTCTGCTCGACGCCTTCTTCTCTTTGCCTTTTTCGATAGCTTCGTCTCAGCTTCGCCTTCCTCATCTGCTTTCTGTGTTGGTTTCGTTTCCTCAACAACATCGTTCTTCTTCCTCTTCTTGCTTTTCTTTTCATGGCGTTCACCCTGCAACAACTCCTGGATCTTAAGTTTCTGCTCCTTGACCTTGTGTCTATTCACCTCCCAATCCTTTTCCACATAAGGAGCCATCTTCTTCAATGGAACGTACTGGTTCAGCTCTGTGTCATCTAAGAAGAGTATCTCTCCTGTATCCAGGGCGAATTTGTTTGGTTGTACTTTCGCATACTTAAACCTTGTTTTCAAATCTCCAATTGTATCCTCATAGTCTAGCTTGTAGTACTCCTCCAACATAGCTTCCTTGGCTCTTTGTACAAGAGATGTTTTCCGCTTTCTCTTCCTCTTACCCTCCACTTCCTTCTCCTCATCGACTTCTTCTTCTTCTTCTACTTCTTCTTCTTCTTCTTCTTCTTCTTCATCACCAGCACCATTCTCCATATGCTTCAAAACCTTTTCTCTAGCAGATATAAAACCATCCCCACCTTGAATCACACCCCAATCTTTGGGAAGTCCAAGCAATTCATCCTCCTTGTCAAAGTCTGGTTTCTCACCATCATCCTCATCACTATTCAAATCTGAATCCTCCGCACCATAGTAATCATCATCAAACGCAGCTTTCATCATCATATCATACTCCTCAGGATCAAACTCATCATCCAAGTCTTTCGCATCCAAAGGACATTCTTCACCATCCTTAAAACCAGCAATAGAAAGCACTTTCTTCATCCTCTCCTTCATCTCCTTCTTCTTAACATTCTTCAACCGCTTCAACTCCTCTTGCCTCTCAATCTCATCCATCTTCATCCTCTCCTCTTTACTCTTCCTCTGCGCCTTCCTCGCATTATCCTTCTTCCTCACCGACCCTTCCACAACCCTAGACTGACCCATAACAATCTCCCCAGCATTCTCTTCATGTCTATAGGTAGTCTCATAATCCTCTTGCTTCTCAACAGCTTCCTCATCTTCATCCAACTCCTTCAAATCTTCTTCATCTATTACAATCTTCTCATCTTTCTCCTTCCACAACTGTTTCACCAAGTAATCTTTCAAAAACTGATTCTCAAACACTTCACGTTCTTCACCGAAATACTCATCAATTTTCTTAGCTAGCTCCTCCTACACATCATCATCTCCTTCCTTCTCCGCAACTCTCAATAAATCTTCACCATCTTCATCACTCTCCTCTTCGAAAGCATCAGTTACAGCTTTCCTCAATTCCTCTTGCCTCTCATCGTAACTCTTAACCTTCCTCCTCTCCTCATCTTCCTCAACAAACTCAGGACCTTCTTCAATCAATTGCTGTGCCTGAACATCTTTCAAATACATCTTCTTCTTCTTCTTCTTCTTCTTCACCTTCTTCTCCTTAGCCTCATCTTCTTCATCACTCTCATAGAAGTTAACATCTTTGTTCTTAATCAAAGGATCCTTTTTCTTTACCTTAAGCAAAACATCGATGAATTTGACATCGTTTTTTGGATCTCCTAAATCATCATCTGGCTCAGAATCTGATTCCTCCTCCTCTGACTCGGAACCTTCGTCATCGTTGATGATACCTCTATCCTTCAGCTCATCGTATTTCTGGAGATCCTTGCGCTTCTGATTGTGCAGTAACCTCTCACCGTACTCCAAATCGACCTCGAAACAATCGGAGCCTTTCTTCTGTGAGTCGTCGTCATCATCTGGAATCAATTTCAGCCGCCCCATCTTGCTAGGGTTTTTGCGATACATTACAAACTGTAAAGTCTTTCTCTTATTTATATGTCGTAATTTATAAAAGTTTCGCAAATGACCCCCTACTTTATTGTATTCTCACAAATTAGACAGAACTATTATTTGGCGATCATAACACCTTAGACATGTTTTCGTTAATGCCGGTTCGATATTAAAGTTTAGATTTGGTCTTATAGTCACTCGGATATTCGGTTTGGTTCAGTTCAATTCTTTCGGTTTTTAGTTCTTTTGGTTCTTGGCTTTAGGGTTCATATAGGAACCGAAGGAAAATCGGTCGATTCCAGTTTTTTTAGTTCTGGAGCTTATGATTCATTCGAGTATTTCTTTTGGGTCCGAAGGATCCATTCGAGTATTATTTTTTGTATTTTCGAGTATTTATGGTATTTTGACTATTTTTGGATATTTTTGAATATTTTCAAATATTTATTTAAGATATTTCAGATATATTTGACTATTTTGAATATTTTTAGATTTTTTTTTGGATTTTTTTATATTGCGGATATTTTCGGTAATTTATTCTAAAAGTGACTAAATTTTAGATATATAATTATATTTCAGATATTTTCAAATACCCAAAAATATTTAATTTTGGTTCAGTCCAGATCCATTCCGGTTTTTTTCGGTTTTAGAGTTTATGATCCATTCGAATATTTTAAAATTTCGGTTACGTTTCGGTTAGTTCTTGTTTGATACTTTCGGTTCGATTAATTTGCCCATGAGTACTACTATATAGATTAGAAACAAAAATTAATCACTTGAAAAAAGAAAAACAAAAAAAAGTTGAAAAACTATTGTTTTTGGTGTTTAGACTCAAAAGCGTGGCAAAGTAAAGGATGGTTAACATAAAACTCCAAAAACTCCAAACGCATGTGTCACACTATACAAGCTAATCATTCCTTTAAGCTCTCTATTGAGTAGTCACACTCTTCGCCAGATTCCTCGGTTGATCAACGTTGTGACCTCTCAAAACAGTCAGATGATAAGCCAATAACTGCAACCAAACATCACAACTTATTTACGCGTCGAAAACCAAAAAAATTGTAGAAGACACATAGATTATAGATTGATGTAGAGATTAGTTTGTTACCTGTAATGGTACTATATTAAGAACAGGTTGTAAACAATCTTCAACTTGAGGTACTTCGATTGCTCGACAAGATCCACTCGAGCTTACTGATGCAGCATCACCTTTTGAGCACATTACTATTAATCTCCCTTTGCGTGCGTGAAGTTGCTGAATCACAGACTGTTGTTTGCTGAAACAAGCATCACGAGTGGCAATCACAGCAATGGGAAGATTCTCATCAGCTAAAGCTAAAGGTCCATGTTTCATTTCTCCTGCTAGTATTCCTTCACTATGCATAAGTGCTACTTCTTTTACTTTCAATGCTCCTTCTAAAGCTGTTGCGTAGTTGTATCCTCTGCCAAACACAAGCAGTGACTGCTCGTCTATCAAAAGTTGTGCGAGATCTTTCATTTCCTCGTCTAGCTTTAGTACTTCCTTAACCTTATCTGCAGTTAGATATGATATTATACACTAAGTTGCTTAAAAACAGTCTTAAGAAGAAGCAAGCAACTTTTTCGCTAATTTTACTTAACTTACACGGCAAATCAAGTAGTCCATCGATTATAGCTTCCCGTCTCTTTTGGCTGGAGATTGTGTCACTTCCAATTGCTAAAGCTAGCATAACCATTACCACAATCTGACTTGTGTATGCCTAATAGTGTTTGAGATAAGCACAAGTTTTTCTTAATCTCCAAATCTGGAAAAGTATACACGTATATATATTAAGAGATTCATGAAAACTACCTTTGTACTTGCGACACCAATCTCAGCTCCTGCGTTTATATGAACACCACAGTGTGTTTTTCTAGCTATCGAGCTCCCAACGGTGTTAGTTATGCCGACACATAATGCACCGTTTTCCCGAGCATAGTCCAAAGCAAGTAGTGTATCTGCGGTTTCACCAGACTGACTCACAAACACCGCAGTATCTTCTCTGTATATTGGACCTTGCCGGTCCCAGAGATCACTAGCAATCTCCATGCTGACTGGTATACCTATGGAAAGAATCAAGTTAGCAGAGTCAATTCAAAATCAAGACAACCCATGGTTTTAGTAGCAATTACCAGAGAGTTCTTCAAGGATAGGTCTTGATGCAAGAGCGGCGTTGTAACTTGTCCCACACCCAATAAAAACTATACGCCGGCTGCGTCTTATGGTCTTTAAGTGATCTTTCAACCCACCTAGGAGGACTGTTTTTGTTTTGCGTGAACCACCGCGTATAAGTCGGCCTCTCATTGTGGTAGTTAAAGATTCCGGCTGCTCGTGGATTTCTTTTTGCATGTAATGATCATATTTTCCCTTGTTTATTTGCTCCACCTCCATTTCTAAAACAGATAATGCACGTTCCACTGAAGCAATTCTCGATATACCATTACGCCTTCCCCTCTCGTTTTCAGACTTAAGTATAGTCACACCTCCATCCTGTTAATAAAAGTGGAAATGGTGAGCACATAGCTAACGGATATGCATGAGTTCTATAATAACAATTATTACTCCAAATTGGACAATATTAACAACAAATGGATATTAATAAAACGTTTTAGTTGCTACTTGTGAATGCTACACATATTCTCAGTGATCAGTCAATATGATTCGTTAGTCACACACTAGAATTCAAAATTCATGCTTAAAATTTGGTAGGGAATGAACACATACTGATTAGAATATTATAATTGAATGATTGTTGTACCTTGAGGTGAACAACTTCGCCATCTTCAATCACCAAAACTTTCTTTGTGTGCTCAACAAGAGCATGCGGATCACTTGATAGGAAAAATTCCTTGGGATGGTCATTCTTAGAAAGAAAGTGAGCATCTTGAAAAACATGACTATTGCTCTTGCCTTGATCTAGCTCCTACGAAACCATGCAAAAGTAAAGGTATAACCGCAGTTGCATACAAACCCGAAAGATTTCGATCCTGTGCCAGGCGAAAAAACAAGGTAATGAACTGAAGCAACTCTACACTATTCCATGCTAAAAGACGCAAACAGTGACTAGCTAAGAGAAAATGCTAAATTCTACATTTCAACCGAGAACAATGAAACGTCCCTCTTGATTCTAGTGACAAAGAGTTACTTACTTTAACACCTAAAAGCAACGGGCTACCAAGCTTGCACGCAATCAACTCGTTCGGGTAATGCCAGCTTTTAAATATAAGAGCATAAGCTCCTTCAAGATGCCTCATCACTTGAAAGACAACTTCACAAAATTGAACAGTCTGTTCACCTACACACAGATGTGTCCCATGAAAATATGAGCATACTAGCTAAATTAAAACAAGACTAACTTTTAAATCTCACATCAACATTATTAGTTACCTTCTTCATTAGCTTTGTCAAAAACAAATTTAGCAAGCTTTGGTATAACCTCAGTATCTGTATCCGAATCAAAAGTAAATCCATGCCTCACTAAAGTTTCTTTCAACACCTAAACAACAAAAACAGAATCAAAATAAGTTCATTTCTTTTAAAAGACTCTTTTATACATAAGAGAAGAGAAGTTAAAGAACCGAACCTCATAATTAGTGATAACACCATTATGAACCACCAAAAAATCATCTCCAGGACCAGAAGATTGAGGATGACTATTCCTTGGAGCTGGCTCACCATGTGTAGCCCATCTAGTATGTGCAATTCCAGCATGAAAGTAGAAAACTTCATCTAAGTTTAAATCTGTATTCGTAATCTCTGCAAATTGAAAACAAACACAAACTCATCATTCACTTTGGATTCAAATCAGAGATCTAGAGAGAAAAGTAACCTTCGTTTACAGAATTAACGAGTGATTCAATGTTTCCTGCTTGACGAAACACAAGAGGAGGGGAAGAGATTGTTGAAGAATCATCAATTGCGATTCCAGCTGAATCATAGCCTCTGTATTCAAGACGACGAAGACCATTGAAGAGAATCTCGAGAATGTATCGTCTCTCTTTGTTAGCGTGAAAATTCAAATACGCGAAGATTCCACACATTGTTTTGTTTTCTAATCTCTCATGAAGAATAAAGGAACGGTGAGATTCTAATTTTGACTCGGGTTTGACTTTGTAAATATGATTTACAAGTTTGGATATTTTTGTCTTTCTGACTTCTGTCAGGGACTATGACGTGGAGGGACTTGATTGGATTGAGCAGCGAGTTTGCTTTTTTTGTTGGAGTGGGTAATGCAGCGTTCACCGCTATGCGTGGCACGTGTCACGTGATGTTTCCTTTTTTCATTTCTTCTTTTTTGTCAAAAGGTCAAATCAATTTTGACGGGGCCCTGCCTCTCACACGGACACCCATAATTCACACTTAATGGATGTGTAATTTGATTTAATTAATGATTTAAATTATGTTTAACGATATACTGGTATTTGATTTTATATTTGTAAATCAATGTTTAAAAGCTTTTAAAATCTAGAATTATTCAAATAAGAATTGAATTTTTTCATTAAAATCAAATGTTATTCAAAATTAAATATTTTTTAAAAAAATATATTTTAAAATTAAATTATTTAAATGAAATCTGTTAAAGTTTCATAAGTAAATTATAAAAATCAAAATTTCAAGTACACTGCATAGATTTTAAAATTCATACACATCATTGTTTTACGTAATATCAAACTTTAAAAATTATAAAACATACAAAATTAATTTTAAATTTAAATTCATGATTAAATAACACCTTCAAACTTTATTTGATTTTTTTTTTGTTATGTTTTATAGTCTACTTATCCTTTGGAATGATGATGTTGCCGTGATCTTGAATAGTGCCCACATGGGAATAAAAAACATATATTTTCATCACTATAGTCTATAGTGGTAACATTGACAAAAAAAAAAAAAGTCTATAGTGGTAAATTATTGGATTTTTTTTTCATGTGAAGCACTATGCCAAAACAATATATTGGGGATTGGGCACCACTATAATCAAATATTGATAATAAAAAAAAAAACTCATTTTTCAGAATTTTCTAGATGTACAGAAGCACGTTTTTATATCCTACCAAAAAAAAAAAAAAAATCACGCTTTTATAATCAAGAAAATTAACAAACTTTTCACAAAATAATGATTTTTGTGGATAACAGTCATTTCGATGTTTGATATTATAATGGAAAGCCTTATGCTGTTTTAATTGATAGATCCTTTCAAACTTTCCCTGATTTTAAATTTAAAAACGGCACCACGTTTACTCATACTCTTAGCGTTTAACCAACTCATCGACTCATCATTTTTTACTTCATTTCCAAGAAATTGAGAGAAAAGAAATCGACGCCGTTTTTTCACATCGTTGTCATGGAAAGCAAGAAAGCGAAGCTTGCAACAAAGAAGATCTCCGAATACCTGAGAACAAGCAGAGGAAGCTTAGATCCGATTCCGCATGATCTCATCCCTGATATACTCAAAAAGTTGCATGTTAAAACCCTAGCAAGATTCATCTGCATATCCAAACAATATGCATCGATTATTCGCAACAAAGATTTCAAGAAATCGTACTTGATCAAGTCCTATACTCATCCACAAAGTCTCATCTTCACATTTGATGACAATATTTACAAGAAACGTGTCTTCTTCTTCACATTTGATCATCATCTTCTTTAGCAACTTATCATATGAATTGACTTGGCCAAATATTGTACGTCGTGAACAACGTTGTTTTACAGTTTAATGGAAGTTGTTAACGTTGACTTAACTTCGTCAAATTGATTTGTTAGTTGACTTCACTAATTTTAACCAAAAACATAGAACACACGGATTTGATCAACCCAAACCAAATCCAAATTAACATATTTAACTAAAACAGGTTTAGTCTACCTTAGGCTCCGAATGGAGAAAGCGGATCAGGCGGAGCGGATCAAACGGTTTAAGCGGAACAAGTGCGGATCAAACAGATCTCGCAGAACTAGTGGGGTCAAATGGATCTAGCGGTTCAAAATGTATATTTGAATGGTGCAAGCGGATCAAATGATGCATATCAAATATTTATATTGTCAAAAATATAAATTGTAGATAAAATATTTTACATAATATGATACATATTAAAACAAAAAATTGTATATATATATATATATATATATATATATAATACTAGTCGAGATGTTATTAATATTTATGCATATTAAAACTTATTAAAATATATTTAATATATACATAGTCATTTATAAATGTTTGTCATAAATATTAAAAAATTAATCAAAAAACTACTTAAAATACAAAATCTATCATCCTAATCTCTGTTTTTTCATTACTTTGAATAATCATCATCAGAAAATTTAAAATATCAAGTTTGCATTTGAATCACAAATTCACAATATATTGACAATATTTATTTAAAAAATAAACCATATAATTTTTTTCTTAAAAAAAAAGAACATGCGAATCATTATTGTACATCCACAAATATGGGGTGTGGTTACTTTTACATGTGGTTCGTTAATTTTGTTCATGAAATTGAACCGCACTTCAAAACAAGGAATGCAATATGCTTTAATTAAAATGGTGAATGGAGAAAGCAGTCCGACCGTTTAGCGTGACATCTGCCCCAGATCCACTATTCCATTTTTTTTGTTAACACTGATTTTATTATTTTATTACAAATTATGAGAATTATTACATCTCCTCCCTCTATAAAGAAAATCATTGAATTGGCAAAGACGCGTGACTCGACGCCCGAGCAACACTTTTCTCTCATCTCAGATCCAGTTTCGCCGCCACCTTCTCACTGCTCCGGAGGCTATCTCCTTCACCCGCTCCTTTGCCGGCGTCGTGAGATAGCCTCCATCTCCCTTTCTCGAGCTTCATCGCCGGTCTTGGTCTCGCAAAGGCCTTAACGGGAGTGAGCATCATCCTTCTCACCGACAACAACGGCCTCGCCTCCATCGATATTACGGTGGCTCCTCCAACTTGGCGGCGAGGTTTGAAGACGCCGGCGTGCTTTCAGTGAAGCCCTCGGCTCAGCCGCCAAAGAGGAAGCTTCTGTAGCGATGGAAGTTGACGGTGGCGCTGACTATGGCTATTCAGTCTCGCGGAATCGGAAGCGACAGTTTGGATTCAGCCACCAACTTCGCAACCGTTGCCTTGGTGCTTCCGCTGGACTGGATCGAGGAGATGATGCTTGGGAAACTCGGAATTCGCCGGATCTGGAGGAGAGGTGTTAGATCCGAGTGTGACAGATCGCTCCGACTAGGATCTGTCATCGGAGAGCCGTTCGTAGGAGGTGTACGCACGTTGGGAAGCCTGTAGCAGGCTGGTGGATTGCCGGAACAGCACCGGAGCCGGAAACCGAATACTTTCGGGGATGGGTCAGTTCCAAAGATCCGGCCTTGTATTCGCCGGCGTTAATGCTAGGCGCCTCTGCTTCCGGTCAAATCGCTAAGGTCCGATCCAATTTTCCGACGCCGGAACTAGGTTTCCGTTTAGGCCCATTTTGTAACCGTTTTAAGGCTTTTGTAATATGGGTCAAAGACCAAATCCCATTATGTGGAATTTTTTAATAATATTAATATTTTAAGTAAAAAAGAAAAAAAATAAAAAAATAAATGAAACTAAATAATGTAAAATATAAAAATAGTACAAATAATAAAATTAAAATATTAAAAAGATATATAACATAATAATGGAATTTTAAAATCAGAACTTGACATATGTCATCGTCACTTAAATAACTTTAAAAACCAAAATTTTTAATTTACATGATAAAATTGTTAGCTTTCCTTTTCTATATTTTTTATATATGTTAAAATCTTAGATCACTAATTAGACAAATGTCATGATCCCGTTAATGACTAACTTTAAAATGAAGCTTTATTCTATGCTCACTTATATACTGTACGTCCAGGCCTGTATACAGATTAGGCCTGGACAAAATACTTGAACCGAAAGAACTGAATCAGAATTGACCGAAATTTAGAGATACCGAATCGAACCGAAACCGGTCTAAATTACCTAATGGATCCTAAATTCTATACCCAAAGGACCGGAACCAAACCCGATATCCGTAGGTATCCGAAAATATCTGATATATGAACATATACCTAAATATAGTAGTTATATGTATACTTGTAATAACCTAAATACTTAAAATTATAATTATAAACCCGAATATAGTAGATACTTTTTTATAATTTAAGTAAATTTGGATACATTTTAGTAAAAGGTAACTAGTATTTTATTTTTTTTTGGGTATTTTCGCATAAATTTGGGTAAAAAGTAATCAATATTTTTTTTTTTTGGGTATTATCGGGTATTTTTGGGTAATTTGGATAAATTTAGATACATTTGGATAAAAAGTAACCAATCCGGACGGTACCCGATAAATATTCAGTTATTTTCCGGTTCTTCAATCAATTATCCGAACCGACCCAAACCCGAAAAATACCGAACCAAAATTTTATAATATTCGAATGGATCCTAAATCTTTAGTACCGGAATACCCAAAACCCGAAATACCCAAACCGAACTCGAACCGATACCCGAATGCCGAGGCCTAAATTACATATTAATATAGCCCAAAATAAAAACTCTTAACGAGATATCTAGATCCTTCCTAACCCTAACATATATATAATAATAATATATATACGGCAGATGGTGAAATAGTTGGAAAGAAAAGCGAGAAACTTTAGAAGAAAAACATGGAGCTGAGAGTTTGTTCGTAAAAAAAAACGAAAAGGGATGTGACCAAATCCGTGGAGTCCAGTGACTTTGAGACCTCTACAATGTCGGCAATGGATGCAACCAAGTCTTGAACCGGAAGCGCAAACTGAAACAAAAGCCAGCGAACCACATGGTGGTGGGCGAGTGACTCTCGTTTGGTTGGAAGGATCGCCCTGTTGGTCTAGGCCAGGGATCGATCCTCCCCAGACGCAGTTTCGCTCTCTCACTCCAGTGGCCACCTGGGAATTTACCTGCGGACTTGCTCAGGCGCCCCAGACCACCAGTTTATCAGGGGGCCCTTAAGTGGAGGCTTAAAAATCCCTGTGACGCGGGCTTAGGCCCAGTGGACTAGTCAGATCACTGTGTGGTCTGGATACTGGGTTATCAAAAAAAAACAAAAGCCAGCGGAGGTTGCTTCCGATGTGGAAGTTGACTCGGACGGTTCGAGAGAGGCGAGGATTAGGTATCTGTCTTCCCTCAAAGCTTCGGCATCAACAGATTCTTCGCATCTTAAGGTCTTCCTCGCTGAAGTATATGTAAGTGCAGGGATATGAGATTCGACCGGCTCGATTCCACTTATATTTTTAATAATCTCTAATCTAAAATTAAAAATTTCCAATTTTGTTGATAGGAATTTTTTTGGATTTAAAATTCTCTTCTAAGTTTATAATATCTCATTAATAACGTGGATTTAAAATAATGAGGCGGATTTTTTTAAATATTTTTGAAAATAATAATTAAAAACTAACTAAAGGTGTTAATTGTAATTACACCAAGAACACTAAATATATGAGTAATGTTTAGAAATAGTATGATATATTACTAATATTCCTATTTTTCTATGACATTTGAATAATTTTTTCTTAAAAGTTAGTTGTCAACTACCTAATTTTAATTTCCAGTTCTTACAAAAAGATGTGATACGAGTCCATTTCTTACTTCGAATCTTGATGTAAAATTATGCACTTATTTAACTAATAATATATTAAAATTTATGGTTCACGCACGATCAGGGAGTGGAGGAAGATTCTTGGCTTCCTTCGAAGGAGTTTGGGCAATTGTTTCCTTAGTTTGAGCTCGAGGACAACAAGCTGGTTATCCGGGAAAGGAGTATTGATACGGTGCACCAGAGGTATTCTCGAAGGAAGCCGTTGAAGGACAACAAGCTGGATTGATGTGCTTGAGCTCGAGCACGTAGATCTTTTGTTTTGTTATCAGATTAAGCTACTCTTGTAATCGGATTTGTTAATTACAATATCAGTAAACTTCAGATTCTACTCTAGTTTTACATGGACAGTGTTGTGAGAGATCGAGAGTACAAGGATCTATCATAATAGTCACTAAATCTTACACATGACGACGACAATAGCTTCTACATTAAGAAATCATGATACGGAGAAAGTGGGCAACACTTTCCCCGAATAGTGACAAGTTTAAACATATTCTCAGAAAGTTATCTCAATAGAGATTTGGTGACAGGAAACAGAATGATAGAAACACGAACAAAGAAGCTGGAAGTTACAAGATGACAGAAATGAGGAAATCCTTTGCCTAAATCCATAACCAAAAACAGTAATTCGTGAGAAAACAAATCTAATAGTTTGAGAGAATGAATCGTATCCATATATAGCAAACAAATTTGTTAGATATTTCAAATAATTTAGTTAAAGAGCATTAATTAGGCTTTTTCTACGTACAAGCTTGCGACCTTTGAACATTCACCCAGATCCCAACTTTGTGATTCTAAGAACTTCAACTCTCATTACACCTACTAGAAATATTCCATTCCAGTAGCTCCTCCAATGACTACTGTAGCAACGGCTCCTGCTACGGCTCCTGCTACGGCTCCGGCAACAACAGCCCCAGCAGCAGTAACAGCTGTTATACCTTTGAGGTAGCCACTTCCGGAGGAGAGTCTCCCCAAGATCACTTTGCAGGACTTGTCAGCTTCTTTGTAAATAGAACAAAGAGCTTCTCTTTCAGTGATGGCTTTTTTGTTCTAATAACATCACAGGTCCGGTCGGAAAATGAAAATTCAGCTCAAAAAGAGTGGAGGGTGAAATTAGTTGAATAGCTTAGAAGAGTAAAGATGCATTTTACCTTTAGCCTGAAGCTATTCATGGCCCGATTGAGGGTGAGAGTATCACTTGGTGTTGATATTAGTTTGAGAGAATGATCCTTCCATTCGTCTACAAGCTTTTTAAGAAGAACAACACTAGCTTCTAGGTTCTCCTTATATAGAATGTCCCACTGCTTAAAGCAATCAGCATTTGCGGTCAAAGACCCGATAGCAATTTCTGTAGCTTCCTTGGCTAAAACAGGATTTCCTATAATAACGGTAACACATTACAAGTCTATTTGAAGAATAGATCAGAGGGACGCAGAAAAGTTAAGGTTTCATTTGTTGGTACTACTTAGTAATAATACCTTCTCCAGCTAATTTCAACGAAAAACCAAATATCTCTCTGCTTCCTGGTGCAAGAGCTACTTCCTTCAACAAGGGATAAATGGCCTCAAACCTCTCCGTGGTCTGTGCCCATACAACGATTATGATCATGCTCAGAATCGACAAACGCATCAAAGTTTTTTGTTTAATAAAAATTCCAATACTACTTACCTTTACTCTCGCCGATGAAGCAGGGAAGGTAAACCGTACCAAGATCTCAAATGAAGTAGGTGGTATCAGCTGAATTCCATCCCTAACAGCTCCATTTACAAGTATGGTCCTAGACTCTGGATTCGACAAAATTCTTATAAGAAGAGTGGATAAAAAAGATCAGATGAATGTTAAGAAATCCTATATAGCAGAGGAGACCAGAAGAAAAATAGACTCACTTCTCAACCAATTGCAGGATGAGATCCACCGACTGAAGGCTGTAGCACTTGTTATTACCGACTAGGGGTAACAAGTTATGCGCCCATGAATACAGGCCAACAGATAAATCACCTTCAGAGGCCTGTCCACAATTTTATGCTTCAAAAAACTTGCACAAATTAATTAAAAATTTGGAAAAAAATTTCACACTACCTGAGCCATTAACCAAACTGTAACCGGAAGCTTGTCCTGTCCTTGAAACATAATTATCTCCCTCAGCATCGGCAATAGAGTGGTCAAAACATCAGGTTTAGTACGCAATACCATTGCTAATGCAACAAATGCTGCCACCTAATCATAAAACAAAGACAACATAATGGAATTAGTCAAACAAAGGTAACTGGATAGATAGATACACCATTCAATCACACATGTATAGGTGAAAGGGATAAGATTGATGTCTCTCCAGAATTACCCCACAAGTATGTTGTTCGCGGATAATACGTTCAATTGCCCACGATACAAAATGACTGAGGTCCCCAAATGGATGCTGTTTGATCCAATTGACTGATGCTTTATAGATAGGTTGAGGAATATCAGATAATGGAACCTGTTAAATTATAACAAGACAAACTCAGCTTCAAGAATAATCTACCCTAGACGACTTATTACTAACGAAAACTTAAAATAAGTAAAAAAATCACATCGATCAGCATAGACAAAGGAGTCTCCTCGAACAACTCCACCCATGGAAACGATACTTGGGAAAGTGCTTTGTTAAAGTAAGTGTAAAACCCAAGTAGGCCAATGCCGTGCCAATGCTATGAACAAAACAAGTCGAATTTCACAGTGCATGCACTTACCGGTTTGGCAAAGAAATCCGCAAGATGCGAAGGATCGATCTTCGCAGCAGCTTCGGCCAAAGCCGATATCCGCTTCAGCTTCTTGCCAGATAAGCCGTCACTCTCCCCCAGCTCCGCCGGTTTTCGCTTCCGGTTGCGCTTCCGGCTCGAGTCAGGGGAGTTCTGGTACATGGTTTTAAGCCACCAAACTCCATGGATTTGACTTTCTCGCTTTTTTTTTTTTTTTTTTTTCCCTAGAAGTAATTCTCTCTCCGGCGGCTAGGTTTAATCAACAAACGTTTTGTTTCGATAAGTATGTGCGTATAAAAAAACACTTATCGGGCTTTAGAGTCCCTTGATCAAAGGCCCATGCAAGCTTTAGTGGGCTTCTACTGAAAAGCATAAAATATTTGACATATGTTTGGGGTTGAGACTGATTTACGATGAATGTAATTATAATTAATATTAGAGATATTTAAAAGATTTTGTTAAAATTCAAAATAATGATTCAGTTATTTGTTTGAACCGTTTAATTAGACTATATATAATAAATTTTAATTTTTTAAAATTTTAAATATTATTATCGATATATTTAAATTTTACAAAAAGTTTAAAATATTATGAATATTTAAACTTATAAAAGTTTAAAATATTACGGGATTATATGACGGGATGGGTTTGGATCGATATTAACATAAATATACAATATCATTAATCGAATGTTACAGGGGTTAATTTTTTTTTTAATTATTTTCTTCACATCATATTATAATAAGAAACATATTAAAACAAGTTAATTTATTTAAGATTGAGTAAAACAAAATTATCCCGCGGTATACCGCAGGTTAAATCTTAGTACGTTGTTAAGAAATGCCGCTTTATTTTTAACGTTCGAACTATAAATAGCAAAGAACTTGACCATATCCAAGAGAAAATAGTTAAAGTATAAGTAAAAACTAAAAGACCTGACTTGTCTTTTGTTGTAGGTGTGTTAAGTCGATATATGCAGAGCCCAAAGGAGTCTCACGGAGCTGCAATGAAGCAATGCTTACGATATCTCAAAGGTACCACCACGTTCGGACTGTCTTTTAAGTACTCAGCCTCCACAACTGCAAAGTTAGTAGGGCGGTTTATGGCCAAGCGCGATATGACTTCAAGCCCAATGACGAGGCCATAGCGGATAAAGCTCTTCGGGAAGCTCACACCCACATCCACCTTCTCCAACGGTTTGTCAAGTGGCAAGGGAGAACGATAAAGAAGCTTGTCAAAGGGATTAAGAGCATGAATGGGAAAATGAAGACCGTGGAAACCAAGCTCTCACACGTGGGATGCTCTAACTCTACACGGGATGACGTGGAGGCGACGGGAGAGAACCAACCAACCCCAATGGACGAAGATAGAGATGCAAGGTATTCTTTCCAAGGCACTCACACTCAAGAAATGGTGGTTCATGATCCTCCGCGAGCTTCTTCTTATAAGCGTCGCCAAAGGAGGAAGAGGAGAGCGCCTCGTTCACCAACACTAATTCTGGCTTCAAGCAACTCCTCTTACTCACTCTCCACATCTTGGGACTGGGTACACTCCATCACCCTTATACATACTTTTCTTTTTACTTTTTGATTTTTGCATATTTGTGTGTTTTTGTTAGTCTTTTTCTTAGGAGGTTATGTTTTGCTTTTGAACTATTTTCCTCTTTTAAGGTTTTTGCTAAGTTTGTATGAATCTTGGTTACTTTTGAGTTTAGTAATTTAATTATTCTTTTAAAATCTTTTTAGCTATCTTTTCTTATGTCCGATATAATTTAAATTAAAATTTAAACAATTTGTAATAAAAGTCAACGCATACTTTTTATTTGTGAAATGGTTTAAGTCAACACATCATCATATTTACATTTTTTTAAAGTAAACTTGACGCTTTTAAGTTAGGAAAAGTCCAGGAATTTTTGTAAGATTCAACTAATAATCGTAATATGAAATTTTTTTTTTTTTTTTTTGATGAAATGTGAAATTTATTGAGGAGAAAAAGCGTTATTTACAACAAAAACAGAACAGAGATTAAACACTCAAAAACATAAAAATGCCTCGGGACTAAAACAGAGCAAAGAGCTACTAATGGTTGGGTCTTGAGCTGAACCACCGTTGAAGTAAAGTACGGAGCCTCGTATGCTCAAAGTATCTCAAAGACATGATCCTTGACCGAATAACCCTCTCAATCGTACGAGCTAGTTGTAAGTGTGCACGATAGATCTTGTTGTGCCTTCTCTCATTCCGTTCACGCCATATATAGTATATGGTAGCTTGGAAACACAAACGGAGTAGAATGTAGTCATACCTCACGAATGGGTGTGTGGTTAACCTATGGATAGTCGCAGTCCAGTCAGGATCCGGGTCCGTATGTAACAGGTCACCTACAACCTGTATCCACACCATGAATGAATAAGGGCAGGCAAAAAACAGATGGTCCCGAGTTTCGTCGGGTTCACCACAAAGTAGACAAGGTTGGCTGTCTCCCCAAGCTCGCATCCGTGATCCTGTGGTAAGTCTATCCCGAATCGCCAACCAAGAGATAAAAGCAAACCGAGGAACTGCTTGCGGGAACCATATAACCTTACACCATTCCTTTGGCTCCCCGCGGGACCGCAACTGGTCCCAAGTGCTAGTAGCAACATATGATGGGCGGAAATCCTCCGGATTGTGTCTCCACATAACCAAATCACTGCCCGCTTCACTGGTTGGTATCCTTAGACTCCGAATATTCTGAGTTATTTCCAACAAATTTCTATCCCGACAACGTCGCAGGTTCCAACCCTCATCATTTACCACCTCAACTACCTTTGCATATTTTGGTACACCAAGTTGGTAGAAACCTGAAGGACCAACAATATCCACAAGACGCCCAAAGGGGAGCCACTTATCAAGCCAGAAAAAAGTGGTACTTCCATCCCCAATCTCACACCGAGTGAATTCAGCCGCAATGTGCCTTAGCTTAAGGAGCTTGCGCCATTGCCAAGAGCCCAGGGAAGTCACCTTAACATCCCAAAACGTGCCTTGTCTTATCAAATACCGACGAACCCAAGCAACCCATAAAGAGCCGGAATCTGAAATTATTTTCCAAATCAAACTTAGACCAAAAACCCGAGAAACCTCGTGCATTCTCCGAATCCCAAGTCCACCCTCTTCCTTAGGGAGACACACATCTTCCCATGCTACCTTTGTTTTACCTTGAATATTTGGGGAACCACTCCAAAGGAAAGCCGAACACATACTTTCAATTTCCTTGAAGCACTTTTTCGGGAGAGTAAAAACCGAACACCAAAAGTTTGTGATGCTAGATATGACCGATTTGATGAGTTGAGCTCTGCCCGCATAGGAAAGGTATTTAGAGGTCCATGCCCCCAATCTGTTCCGAATCTTATCTATCAACGGTTCATAATCAACTTTAGTCATAGCCTTCGTTGTAAGCGGTAGACCAAGGTAACGAATCGGTAACTCACATACCTCTAGGCCAGAGATCACGGCAGCATGTTCAAGACTTTGTTTACCTCTCCCCGCCGCAAAAAATTGATGACTTAGAGACATTTATATTCAGCTCAGATATATGCGCAAAATCTGAAAAAACTGCAAGTGTAGCATGAAGCGATTTAGGCGTTCCATCTGTGAACACCAATATGTCATCTGCAAAACTTAGATGTGAAAGATTGAATTCCTTGCATTTCGGATGGATTCCTATACGCTTTTCCATCACTGCCTTAGTTAGTAAACCAGAGAGGACATTACTCACAATGACATAGAGGTAGGGAGAAAGTGAGCAACCTTGTCGCAAGCCCCTAGAGCTTGTAAAAAACCCCTCAAGCTCACCATTTACAGATACAGAAAAAGATGCGGTGGAGACACATAGGGAAATCCAGAAGATGAATTGTTCCGGGTAGTTCATTGCACGGAGAGTAGAGGAGATAAAAGACCAGTTAACTGTGTCAAAAGCTTTCGCAATATCTAATTTGATCGCAGACCGTGTAGAGATCGATGGCTGGTGGTAGTCTTTTACCAATTCAGTAGCTAAAAGAACATTTTCCAGGAGTAGACGGCCCTTTAATTACAAAGGCACTTTGACTCAACGCAATAGCCTCCAGCATATTCTGTTTGAGACGACTAGCCAAGATCCTTGAAATTACCTTATAAATAAGATTGCAACAAGCTATCGGTCGGTAATCCTTCATGGTATCAGGGTTTGTAATCTTTGGAATCAATGTGAGTATAGTGCTGTTAATCCCCTTCGGCATAAAACCAAACAGGAAAAATGATTGCACCGCAATAATGAAATCCCGACCCACAATCGGCCAGGCGGCCTTGAAAAATTCAACCGTGTAGCCATCTGGACCTGGCGCTTTATTTAGAGGCATGGTGAAGACTGATTTCTGTATCTCCTCGGCAGTAACAGGCTGTACTAACCGAGCAGCATCCCCAGTAGCACACCGAAAAGACACCAGCTGCGAGATAAAGTTTACCGAAGGTACCTCAATATCCGGTTGCTGGTCTTGTAAAAAAGACTTATAGTGTCTCACCGCTTCTTCCTTATGTGTATGTGTATGGAGGGGTTTGTTTGTGGACCTTGATCGGAGGCTTAAATAATACTTTGATCTTTGCGGCGAGGTGAGCTAAATGTTCGAGGATTTTAGGTGTATTCGACCACTTAATAAACGACATAAGGTTGCACAAAAAAAAAATTAAACGACATAAGTTAAGTTAAAGAGCGTTTGGGAGGGGGGATTCTAGATTTGTTAAAACTCGAATTTAATTTTGCTAAACAATTCTTGTTTAATTTATATGAAATATTGTTATATCTTAATTTACACAACTTAATCTATATATATAAAGTTAACTTTTCTCTCTTCTCCTTAAGCCACCTCATCATCCTAATCATCATCCACATCATTTTATTATTTAGTTTTAAGAATTTATTTATACTATTTTTTCATTTAATTTTAAGATTTAGTCGTATGTAAATAAGTTTTTCCAAAAAGAAATATGAAAGGTCTTCTCTTATATTTTATAATCATCATCCACATCATTTTATTATTTAGTTTTTAGAGTTAATTTATACCATTTTCTCATTTAATTTTAAGATTTAGTCATATGTATATAAGTTTTTTTTCAAAAAGAAATATGAAAGGTCTTCTCTTATATTTTTATCTAGAAACTAAATAAAATTGATTAAAAATAAAAGAAAATAAGAAACTTACTAATTTTTTATTATACTAACTAATATAAAAAAAATAATAGATTATAGTTTTATAATGAATATATATCTATTAAAAATAATATGAAACAAAAGTTGATTGTACTAACACAATATAAACTTAAATTATGATGAGATTTAACGGAAATATAACAAAAAACAAAAAAAATTGAGAATATAAAATCTATCTAATTTATGTCTCACAAAATTCTCGAACATAAATGAGATAGATTGGAACAAAACATGAATTCTCATTTTAAAAATACGTATGAGAAAGGTAACAATAAAAACAATACTTTTTTAAAGGGTTTCAATATGAATTTAACTAATTTGTTCCAATACATCACATATGTTAAAAGAAAAAAAACATAAAAATTGAAAATTAAATTAAAAAATAGAATTAAATGAAATGAACTAAATATAAAGTAAATTATACTAATACGTTAAATTTTAAAATTGTTCCATATGAAATTACGAAAAATATGTAAAACGAAAAATAAGAAATGGATATGTAATAGTATAAAAATGATCATAACGATACATAAATTACGTCAAATCCAATAAAAATAACATAAAAAAATTATGATAATATATAAAGAGATGATGTAACAAATAAAAAAGTAACAATCCGCGCGCAGTCCACAAATCATTCTCAACTTTCGGGTTAACATATTAAAAGGTCCACAATATTAACATCTAGATCTATGTTTGCTGGGAGTCCTAATAATAATTTTTTCTATGAATTTCCATAACACTTCCGTTTATATCCACACATCGATCTATTCTATACACATTTCATTTCTCAACTACTATCGAAACTAAAATACAATAGATTTTCTATACAAACACAATTTAAGATAAAAAAAAATGCTATAGTGGAGGAAATAAGTAGAAAATAAAATACAATGTAATTATTTCTAAAAAACGTAATAAAACTCCCGCGCGTAGAGCGGGAAACCGGCTAGTTTCTTATATAATTTTACGATTCAAAATTTCGAGTTATTTGTCGTAAAACAATATAAATCCATCGTATGGAAACATTGTTTCTACTTTCGGAATTTTACTAATGATCTTTATACGGTACTGCTAAAAAAAGATAGTTATCAATCAAAATCAATATGTTTTATAAAACATCGACCAATAAAAAACTATCAAACCGAAAACCATATGACGAAGCAAGAGATTAAGACATATATCCAAGTCCTCCTGTAGTTCAAATAAATGCACTGCACTGCAATATCTCGTTTTAGCAAAATAACGAAATTTAATGTTTGAGAACTGAAATCAGGAACAGCTGGAGCCAATTTATATGTTGTTTGCAACACCCCACTGTTGGTGTCGGATCCCGCACCAGTAGGCTGGGACCAACCAAAGATTGCCATGTAATCAGGATAAGGGCCCACAGAGGATAAGGCCCATTAGGCCCGTGGTTTACAGGGTATAATCGAAGTGGGCGTCATCATAAAGAGAGCCCGGAGTGGTCACACCTCGGGATATGACTCGGAATCGAAGTCGGATTACTTGGGCCAGAAGGCGAAGCCCATGAAGATCGGAATCAATTCAAATTCAAACGTTGGGCATTAAAACTCG